ATGCACAAGCCTTTTGGTGCATTGCGCATTTCACGCATTGTGTCAAAAGCTAGCTCGTGGTGCGAGTCTGCACGTGAGCCGCTCGTGGCCGGCGCAGTGTGGGCGTGGTAATAGATTCCGGCGATTCTTATTGGTTGAAAAGTTGAAAGGCCGCGCGCGCGGTATGCATCCAGGTGCACCGTTTTTGCTACACTTTCAAAGACATTCCAGCAAGACAGGGGCTTATAGGGATTTACTCAAAAGTTGGAGTAAACATGTTTAGATTTTCGTTGGAGGGTTCCTTGGAATTTGGATTGCCTTTTTGTTATGATTGTATTAAAATTACAGGTTTAAAACTTACCAAAACAAATAGTTTCGAACTTTTATGTAATTATTCAAAGATGAAATGAAAAACCTGAACACCATAAAGGAGTCAACAACAGAGCCAACGGATTTTATCATAAACCTGAATTTATTTAATGTAATTTATTTTGAGTATTATAGGGCGGCATTCCAATGGACCAAAATCAATTTTTTTTTCGGACAATGTATCCACGGATCTCAAATTTGTATAAATTGCTCAAAATAATTAACTTTACACCATTAGCTTCAGGGTAACTTGTATATTATAATATACTACTATAAGTTCAAGATGACAACTGAAGAAAAATACTTAGAGCTGAATTATCATCATTATGATTGTATAAATAGAGATGTTATCTGGTTATAACAGATAGCCGACGGAATTATTTGAAACTCAAATGAATTGGAGAAGACCTGCTGTTGCGATCGAGACCAGCGAAATTCGACGTTTTGAAAAAGGCAAATAAGGTTAAGTTATTATTGTATTAAATGAATGCTTACGGTTCAGGTTAAGGCGTAGTATTAAGGCGGGGTATGTTGGGGTATAGGCACATGGCGCGCGTAGGCTAGGCAGCCGAGCACACCAGCAGCAGCGTAAGGGAGCTTGACCTGGCACAGCCATGGTGTAAAAATTAACTTACAAAAATATTTTAACAAAACAATTTAAAAATTACCTTTTCGGGGCACAGTAAAAATCGTCGGGCTAATCGTAGCTTGATCCTTAAAAAAAAATAACGGTAGTCAATTACAAATCTGCATCGAGGTAGTGCATTGTAATGGAAAAATACAATGTTATCAATATTAGAAAATTTCTCTTTAATATCAATTTTGGTTTTTGAAATAAGTAGACACACATTACTGAGCTCTAAGCTTACATGGGTTGACGAGCAACCGTCATTTTAAAAAATAGGAGGACATCGTTGGGGTAGATTTCGCGATGTTATAATTGTATTTATGATATCGTCTTCCCGAAGAGTGTTCTTGGTGATATCTTGTAGGTGAGATGCCGTCTTCCCGAGAAAAAAATACTTCCTGGGTTGATGATATCTTGTAAATAAGACATCGTCTTCCCGAGATAGTGTCATCACGGGTAGGTGATATCTTGTTTGTATAGGGTGAGATGTTGTCTTCTCGAGAAAAAAATCTCTGGTCGATGATATCTTGTAGGTGAAATATCCTCTTCCCAAGAAAGAAAACATTTCTCGGGTTGAAGATATCGTGTTGGTCAGATGTCATCTTCTCGAGAACAAAATGTATCTCCGGTGGATGATATCTTGTAGGTTAGATATCGTTTTTCCGAGATAATATTTCATCACGGATTGGTGATATCTTTTAGGTGAGATGTCGTCTTCTCGAGGAAATAAAATATTTCTCGGGTTGACTATATCTTTTGGGTGAGATGCTATCTTCTCGAGAAAATAGATATTTCTCGGGTTGATGGTATCTTGTACGATATCGTCTTCCTGAGAAAATTATTCACTGGTTGACGATATCTTCATTTTCATATTTTCCGATACCAAATCAGTTAATTATTTCATTAAAACGGATGATAAGTGTCTACCTTCCGTGATAAAAAAAGAAAGATTTTATCAACTCATAGCTACTACGGAGCTCTTTAAAATATAATTATTGTAAAAAAAATAAGTCTTTTACTGAATCAAAATCATTAAAACAGCTTTTCTAATTGGAAAATAAAATGAAAATGTATGTCCGAAAATTTAAATCTTAAGTTCAGCAAAGCTCGATGAGGTTTTCGGTTTTGAGGGATACCAATGAATAAAAATTAAGGCAAAGCTATATAATATATGTAGCCAAATAAAATATAAAAATTTAAGTGCATAAAGAGCAGGTGGTAATAAAATAATAATAATACGTCAATAAATAAAATAAAGGAAGCTTTAGCGTGCTGCAAGCGAGCAAGTAGCAGCTTGCAAGACACTTAGGAACTTTGGGAATCGGGGAGGGAACGAACGTATTTAATTTATACCAACGTTATCCTGACAATGCCTTTGTGCATTAGCAATAATAACGCCAGTTGAAGTATGAAGAAAATTAAGTTTTAACGTTTGGGATTTTATTTGAATAATACAAACTGAAGAATCAGCGATGAAGACGGACCCTCGGAGATGTTATCATATCAACAGAAATCAATGTCAATGGCACTGGCTGCGGCCGCATCACAACCATATTAAGTTTGCTGATTATTTTTGTGTAAAGCCGAAGGACTTACCTTGAAGAAATAATGGTGTAAAGATGTTCATTATGCATTCCTTTTCAAACTTTTGCGAAATAAGTCTGTAAACTGTTGTGTTGAATAATGTCCATATGAATACCTCCCTCTAGAGGTTAAAGTATATGATTGAGAAAGCTGACACCCTTGATGGGTGCTACTATTGAGAAAAGCGACACCCTTGATGGGTGCCACCATAATCTAACCCTTGATGAGTGTTACTTTTAAGAAATACAACACCCTTAATGTTACCATTGAGAAGGACGACACCCTGGATGGGTGCTACTATTGAGAAAAGCGACACCCTTGATGGGTGCCACCATAATCTAACCCTTGATGAGTGTTACTTTTAAGAAATACAACACCCTTAATGTTACCATTGAGAAGGACGACACCCTGGATGGGTGCTACTATATCACCCTTGATGGGTGCTACTATTGAGAAGGACGACACCCTTGATGGGTGCTATGAGAAGAACGACACCCTTGATGGGTGCTACACCATGTACTGTATTGATTAACACGACACCCTTGATGGGTGGTACTAGGCAACACCCTTGAAGGGTGCTACTATTGAGACGAACGACACCCTTGATGAGTGCTACTACTGTATTAACACAACACCCTTGATGGGTGATTGAGAAAGACCTCACCCTTGATGGGTGCTTCTATTGAGAAACACAACTCCCTTGATGGGTGATTCTATTTATAAAGACGATACTCTTAATGGATGCTTTTATTGAGAAATATAACACCCTTGATGGGTGCTACATTGCCAACAAATTAATTCAATATAGAATTATTAATGTATAAAGAGTTGTAAAACCAGTAAGAGATTATGTTTTGTAGAGAAGACAAAGAGACTTAAGGATAATAATTATTTTTTCCAAGGAACCTCTCCGCACGATTTAATAGTTCATCAGACACAATCTTACCAAGCACCAGATGGGAAAGGAATAAAAATCCCGCCGCTTGGATGTGCAAGTAAATTTGAAATAATTTGTTTCTTAATGCTGGATTTGTGTATCGGAAGAAAATAAGACGATGAACCTGCGGGTATTGATTAAAACCAAAAAAAAATGTATCGTTCGTTCACGATTTACGAGTTCGTGTTGAGTTCGAGTGCGAAAAAAGTTAGCGTCAATCTTAGATCTTATCAAACATTTGTCAATCATTTGACCGATTTGTGTACAGAAAGAAAATAAGACATGGACCTGCGGGTATGAATTGAAACAACAAATATATCATTCATTCACAATTTACGAGTTCGTGTTGAGTTCGAGTGCGAACAAATTTACCGTTCATCGTTGCATTTTATCAAGCTTTGTCAATCATTTGGCCGATTTGTGTATCGGAAGAAATAAGACGATGAACCTGCGGGTATTGATTAAAACAAAAAATGTATCGTTCGTTCACAGTTTACGAGTTCGTGTTGAGTTCGAGTGCGAACAAAGTTAGCGTCAATCATTAGATCTTATCAAGCATTTGTCAATCATTTGACCGATTAATTATAGGAAGAAAATAAGACGATGTATATCGACCTGCAGGTATATTAAAACAACAAATGTACCGTTCGTTGATTACGAGTTCGTGTTTGAGTTCAAGTGCGAACCAAGTTCGTGTTTGAGCTCGAGTGCGAACAAAGTTAAAAGAGTACAAGTAACGTACAAGAACGAAATATGTACACGACTACGAGTGTCTGCAGAATAATTGATAGGGCCATGTGAAATTAATAATGATTGGGCCATGCATGTGTATGATTGGGCCAACTGCTATACTACTTAGCACCTGCTATCTAGGAAGGATTTTTATGTCAAAATCATGATGGGGCTATATGTAGAAAAGCGTTCTGCTTCTCTTCCAATTTGCACCATCTGTACATTTTTGTTTAATTATGTCTACTGCTTGACATTTAAAGGGAATATACATCATTTGCTTTTGCTGTAATTTTCAGAAATGGGTGGAATTGGGGGGTTGGAAATATAAAGCAAATATAGTTACACTGAGTTTTGGAAGTTTTGGGTTCGAAAATGCTATAAATAAAAACGATCATTTTCCTGTAGTCTGGTTCCCTGACTCCATATAAGAAGAAACAGAGCAGTTTACATACATTGGGGAATTGTAAGGTCAGGGAACCAGTCTAGCTGTCTCGTACCCGTTCATAGGTTTGTAATCGATTGCAAACAAGTGCAATGGTCAATTGGGGCCAGTATTTGAAAAAAGCCAGTTGTTTCCAACGCTGATCGGCCGATCAGCGTTGGAAATTGATACAAAAATACCACTTTTCTTGAAAATGACAGTATACCAGGTGCCATAATTTTACAGGATGCTTTAGACTGTCATTTACCAACATCCTGTTAAGGTATTTCGCAAAACTTGTAGTTTTATTTTTCGATGTTTGCAAATGTTGTATATTCCCTTTAAAGACAATGATTGTGAGCTGTAGTAGGGTCAATGTTTGTACGGAATATTTTTTTTCTGTTTCTAACAATTTGTATTAGATATTTAGGGCCATGTGTACGAATCAAACTTTTTTGATTCTAGTCGCGTCTATCATGCATTTTCTCGTCGTTCCATATTGATTGTCATTGTGAAAAAAATCATAGGGCCATGTGTACAAAACTGTCATCGCCGTTTTGAAGATATTTATGCCAAACCCAATTTTTCTTGCGTTATCTTCTGTACTTATGTGACAGATTAATTACAGGATTCCAGGGCCATGTCTGACTTTGTTTTTGTAAAAAATCTTTCCAATTTTATTATGCCAAATTATTTAGGGCCATGTGAAGTAGTGTAGAGATCTTCTATTCCTCCGTTCTGTAGAGATTTCTGCAATTATTTTGAAAGCTGCTTGTGCATTCATCCCGTCTTGAGTGCGAATCATCGTGTAATACACTCTAGGGTCATGTGTTAAGTATCCATAGCTATTTTGAAGCTTAAAAAAAGCTCAAATGTTGGATCTAAGTTTTCTTGTATACTCTGTATATTCCTCACCCGCTGTAACTTCACCGTTGTTGATGGAGTGAAATACTCTATAAGGCCATGTTTAAGAATCTACTATTTGTCCATGTGACAGAAGTTTTCTTGGAGATTTAGTATTGTTTAAAAAAAGCTCTACATGTATAGGGCCATGTGCAGATCTTACAGATTCATTGAAACATGTAGCGGTCGTAAAACGTAATAAGAATGACGGTTTCAACGATTCCACGATTATTTTGTGACATGAAATAGTCTCTTATCCTTGTCGAAACGTGTCTTATGGACATGAAGTATTGTTTGTGATTTGTTCTTCCATAATATCCGTTTCGCAAAGATCGATAATTGCCTTTTGTGTTAGGGCCATTGTGTCAACTTTGTTTATTGTAAATCAGGTGTAATATGATACCTGTAGCGTCGGATACACCTTGTAATCGCTCTGTAAAGTGTATAGCCTGAATTTACAGGATGAAACAATGTGCATTAATTAATTTAACAACCACAACAGCAGTGGAAGATTTGATCGATGGTACATTTGAATTCTGATAAGTCCGATCACAGCTGGTCGGCAATGTGAATGTTATAAGATGGAATTTTGCGTCGGGGTGATATAAATCAAATTAGGTTTTGCCCTTCACCGACGTTTTTAAACACCGTGAATGTTGTTTCCCTTTGAACCGCGTTGCGCGTCAGTGGATGCGCGTTGCTTTTGCGCAAACTGGAATATCATCTTCGCGACCAGTAGGCCAAATTATCTATTTAGAATAACCTAACCTTTCATTCTCAACGGTTGAATCCATTACAGTGGTCAGGTAAGGGCCACTAATTGGATTATTTTCACTGTCTGTATGTAAGATGCTTTGTATCCAATTAGAGATCTAAGTAGCGTAGACCTAAAGTAGGTTTCTCCTTTTTTTTCTCTATGGTTGTATCTTTATAGTGGTCAGGTAACGACTACTAATATACGTTTCCTTCTCTTTATACCACAGCACCGGTCACAAATTTGATCAGAAAGCCACTGAACATTGTAGTTATAAAACCTAGCTCCGCTAGGAAGACTTCTTTTATTTTCAGCAACTTGCAATTAGGTTAGGAGGACCGGCAAGCCGGAGTGCTCATGTCAGGAGCTGCTGACACGGAGGAACCGGAAGCAGGGAGGAGGAACACCGAATGACTGAAGACCCTGCTTGCTGGGCATCCCATTACTGATTTCCCAGGTAAAAATATCAATGTTATTTTCCTTTCGAACAATGTCTTAGGGTGTTTCAATTGTACTGATTATTTTGTCTGCGATTAATGATACCTTATTTTTTTTTTAGTACGATAAGTCTAGAGGAAAATAAATTTAATGTGAAATTAATAATCACTTAACTTCACAAAAGAAGAGCAACCGGCGCATAATTGTCCCGCACACATTTTCTTACATGTGTTCCTTCTAATCTTCTGACAGAGATGACGGTCTGCAAGATGAGATGCCATTCTGGACGAAGATAAAATCACTTTTGAATCCCAAGGAACCGGAAGCAGGGAGGAGAACCGACGGAAGGACTGAAGACCCTGCTTGCAGAGCAAGTCTTCACCAATTCTTGAGGTTATTTAGCAAAAGGGATTTAGATGTATTTTTCATTTATTCATTTTCTATTTTTGTCTTAGTCTTCAGGACGTTGCATATCGAACTTTTTATGACAATCTTTTCACTCAGATAGGGTTGTGCTTCAAATGTGAAATATGTAATATAAAAGATAAAGGGCCTATTTCTTTCATCTTTGCAGATTCCTCTTGTTTCGTGTAAGCAGCAGAGATGATGACAATATACATAACGGAGTGCAGTAGTTCACCAAGGCAGGAAGATGAATTTTGGCAACACTCGACTGAGTTTTACAATAGCTAGAACCTGAAAAGTTCCCATAAGTTTCTCTTAAAAAGTCGTCACATTTTATTAATCCGAGGTATGTATAAAGACACCATCCCATTCAAAATCCTTCCGAAAACCTGCTGGATAGATTTAAAAAGCTGTATATGTCAACTTATTTAATCAATAGGTTTAAGTCCTACCTAAGTGGTCGTAGTCAGTCTGTGAATATCGAGGGCAACATTTCAAAGGTACCGCCACTAAAAACGTTAATGTTCCGTAGGCTAGGGGTCGATCTTATGTCCACTTTTATTCATTATTTATTCTGGTGATCTAACATCTTGTATCCCTTGTACAACGTATTAGTCATCGGTGATATTTCTGTCAATATCACACTAGTTAAAAAATGCGCTGATCTACGGAGTTATAAACTTGGTCACTGTTGCCATGCACGGAAACTTCCCGTGTTTTTTCCACAAATTTTCGCGGGGTTCTGCCCATCCCGCAATCGGCAATTCGTGCCTTATACTGGAATGTTTAACATGCATTTTTACAAGCTTTATTTGAGTAAAAAAAAATGGTGAAGAAGTCGTGTTTGTCAGTATTTGTCTGTTTCACATGTGCACTTTTCCTTGTAATTTTAGTTTGAGTAAGTTATTTTAAAAAATGAATGCAGGGCCCCAATGGAAACCCATTTCAAACTGTTTAGGCGTACCCTTGGTAAAGAAATGTAATAAATAAATTAATAAATAGATAAACAGAGGATCAGAAAGGAAATCATCAGATTTTCCAATTTATAGGTTATGGGTTGTTATTTAAATCCCGCAAATGGGGGAAATGTGATCATTCATTTTTCGCCCGTTCCAAGTCCATTTTATAGTAGCTTTCAAATTATCAAATTGTTCCTCGTATGCACATTTATACACTCGATATTTTATTTTCTTCTCTTCATAATGTCATGATTTTATATAATAAATATTTGAAGAGTTTATTTCAAAACGCGACTTGTCCATTTGATAGAAGTGAAAAATCGACCGGTTATGAAACTTTAACCCTAAACCTGCTGAATCCAACATGATCCAGCTATACCATTTACCCGTTGGAGCCTGTTGGATTGAGCAGTAAACCCCTGGCACAAATTAATGTACATATTTCCTATGTTTCTGATTGCAATATGTTGTACTCAGCAGGCAACTGAAAACATTCAAAGTCGACTTCTGTTGGGTACTGGTAAATAACGCCAAGTTGGACTCTGTTGCATGGATCCACATAGAAACACACTAAAAATGGTCCCAATGATGGGACTTGCGGTTTTGCCGAAGTCAATTGAGGGTGATCGGCTGACGGATAAGGTTTACGCACAAAACCACGAGCCAATGAGGTTTTGTATAGAAAGCTGGCCGACCACTTTTGCGAGGGTGTGCCGGTAATGTGGACTCCCTTACCTCCCTACTTACTGGAGGAATGAAGACGTCGTTAAACCTGGGCCACGCTGAGTGGTAGAGTAGCATCCATCAGGAAACACATGATCACACCAACTTGTTGTAGGCGTTGACCGAGCCGCACTTAACAGTGTTTTCAACTGCCTATTTAATTGGAACCACTAAACAATTTCAGGAGTTCCGCTCTAGATGTTGTCTGGAGCTAACAAATGAGGTTCACTCAGAATGACGACTGTCTTCCAAGAGTCCTAGATCCTCAACGATCGGACGGAGTGGCGCCTAATTCATCCGGAGATTTTTCACAAGTTCATGTGAAGTTGGAGTTCACTCCGATGGTGGATTTGTTCCCAACTCGGCTAAACACACAGTTGGAGAAGTTTGTGTCTTGGTAACCAGAGTAATCCTAAGACGTAGAAGGTAGATGCTCTTCTGATGAACTGGAAAAGGCTGAATCCCTTGTCATAATCTCTAAGTGTATACAAGGGCGGATCCAGATCCCATTATTTTTTTTTTGGGGGGGGGTGCCAAAAGAATTGGTTCCCCAAAAAGTGGGTTCCAAAAATTACTGCGTGGGGTTCAAGACCCGCTTAAGGGCCCCGATTTTGTTTTTGATTCTAAAGATTTACTGTGGTGCGATCTAAGGCAATTTCTGACCACTTTGACCAAATTTTTTGAGGAAACGATGGTGTTGTACGCAGTGCCCGCCTTTATTGCGACCGGCGTGGATCCGCCCTTGAGTATATACAAGAGGAAAATGCTACGGTGGTTCTGATCACCTTAGTGCAGTCAACTCAGGCTTGGTATCCCAAGTGTCTAGGATTGACCATCGCGAATCCTGTTCTCGTTGCAGAAGGCAAGATCTTCTTCGTCTTCCACACAACCAAAAATTACATCCACTGTTTTGCAGTGTACAACTATATAACCGCCTTGTATAAATAGCCGCACTGTATAATGCTATTCGCAATTATGTATGTAATGTAATTCCCCAATTACATAAGGCTCCTCCCTTATTGTTAATTAATGTCTGCCGCCACAACAGATTTTCAAGCTTCCAACAGGGCAACCGTGGCTGGGGTACACAGGCTTTGCACCAACACGCCGTGTGATCCTTGCAAACTTCATGAGCTTTAGAAGGTCGGCCAAAGGGCGAGTCTATCCGTGTCTAGGCACGTGATCACCATGGGCGTCGCGAGGGGGGGCAAGGGGGGCACTTGCCCCCCCCCCCCCCGAAAAGCAAAAAAAAAAAAAAAAAAAGGAAGAAAAAGAAAAGAAAGAAAAGAAGAGAAAAAGAGGCGCGAAGACAAAGTGGTGTAAATTTAATGAGTTGGGGGGGGGGGGGCAAAATGTCCCTGCCCCCCTCTTAAACTGATAAATCGAGAATGTGCTGAGAAATACAAGCATTTTTTGGCAAAACAATTTTTTGCCCCCCTCTAGAAAAAATCCTGGCGACGTCCATGGTGATCACTGTACACTCACGAGGCCCCCTTCAATGGCGAAGCCATTGTACAAAGGAACTGTTCCGTTACGGATTGTGTAAACAAAACTAGCACAATGCTTTCGCCATTGGTGGGGGTGGGTCCTCCGAGATAGAAGTGACAGCGTGCTGCGTGACTGGATTGGTCTAGGCCCCTACAAGGGCGGTTCCAGAACACAATTTTTTTTGGGGGGGGGGAATTTGGACCCCCAAAAAAGTGGGTCAAAAAATTTTTTTTTGGATTCTAGATGCTCTGTGGTGCGATCTGAGGCAATTTCTGACCACTTTAACCAATGTTTTGTTGAGGAAAAGATGGTGGTGTACTCATTGCCTGCCTTTATTGCGATGTCACATGAAAAAAAAAATTGGTCTCGGTTTTTTTTGGGGGGGGGCATGGCCCCCTTTGCCCCCCCCCCCCCCCCCCGATCCGCCCTTGGGCCCCTATTTACAAAAAGTCTTTGTAAAAAGACTGATATTGCCTTTCCAAAATCGGTACTGGGACTTTCTAGGTGTAAATTACCCTTCTTGGATTTTGAAATAAGTCTAGTGTTTGGGGTAGGGAAGGAGAGTTTAGGGACACAGTAATTGACATTGCTGTAGCAACTGATTTACACGTAAACTCGTAATAGATGTACCTTTAACCACAAAATGTGCAAAATCCTGTTTAGAAAAAAATATTGATATAAGGCACACTGCGTTTTAGAAATTCATATCTGTTGATGGGATTAATGTACAAAAACATAAAGGCTTTCCTTTATGAAGTTTGTGGCACGATATTGCATAAGAAATAACGCAAGCTTTCCATAATATCCACAAGAAACAACCGAGGGCTGGGGTAAACTAAACCCCTCATCGCCCATCCCAACCCCACCCCACTCCCTTCCATAAAAAAGTTGTCACCCTAAGTATTTTTTTCCAGCACGGTTTGGATCTGATGAGCGCCCCCCCCCAAAAAAAAATAATAACACGAAACCTTGGTACTTAATCTTGATCAATATTTTTATTCCCAATGATTAATACTGTGTCATTAAGTACTCAAGTATAATTAGTACATTTAAACAAAATTTGAGCAGTATTGGTACGGTATCACGCTGGGATTTGCTAATATCTCTATCGCGCTAGCGAAAATGACTGAATTAATGGTTATGATCGAAAGAATTCAGATGACATGATTAAACAATTTTTAATAAGTAGATGTCCTCTATAATATGAAATAGTCATATATTTTGTAACGATTTAAACTGATTTACATTTGTATACAGTAATTCGTCCCCTAATTTTGAAATGATTACTACATTATTATTTTAGAAAATTACTACATTATATTATTTACATAATTATGATAAAAATACATGTACCATTAATTTTTACGTATTTTCACAAACATTTGTTCAGTACACACCCGATAACATGTTCTATTTCATTTGGATAATACACATATCATGGACGTTCATAGTGAACAATGGGTTGGAAACCATTGCATTGGATAGTACGACATTCGGATACAACGAACATAATTACCAGGTCCGGCGGATTTCCTGCTAACGGGAGTCGACTGTATATAAATTTGTCAATATCAAGGTATTTACAAGGTAAACACGAGTGACCTTATTTCTTTAAAGGCATATATAAGATAATTTGCTTTCTTGCATTTTGTTTGTTTCTAATAATAAAACAACTCCAAAATCCAAAAAAGGAATGTTCAAAACCTGAGCTGATGAAGCCTCAACTCCGTGGATATTGAACTCTTCGAGAAAATAGTGAAAGAGCATGCACAATTTTTCGATCATAAATTAAACACGATTTCGTCCATATAACATTCTTTATATCCAAAAATCAGTCAATTGACTGATTGTTTAGATATCACATGCATTCCTTGATTTCCTCTAATTGACAGTTAGTTTCACGGGATGTTTAGTACCAGTAACATCTTAAATCCATTAATAATAATTCGGTCGGGTAATTTCGGGATATAGATGCAAATAACCGAGTATGCCTTTTAAAACTATAGTCTCCGCCTAGTCATCAGGCTCTGGGTTCGTTGAAAACTTGACATTATTATGTACATAAGATGAACAGATAATGACAGACCATAGCTTCAAATTTATTTACATTAATTTTGATCTGGAATACGGTACCCTGTGGAGACATCATTGCACAATAGGGAACAAAAGATTGTATACGTCTCCACAGAGCAATTTCTATCGGTGAATTCGTCTCCACAAGGATATCACGAAATAGATATAGGTCTAAAGATTTTACTCAAAAACTAGGAATTTCCAAGGTGTGTTGAAGTGTCGCACATTGAAGTATTTTATGTAAGGGATATTAAGTCCGAATTTCAGCCCAGGAAATTAGTTTGGTTAAAATAGGAGTATTTTGAAAGCACACTTTCAAACTCGAAAACTATAGTACACGGGAACAAAGAAATGACTCCACAATGATACACATTCCAGAATGATTGCTCTGTTTAGCTGTTTGGAGGTTCGTCACCCTACAATCAGCGAAAACACCAACACTGAGAGTTTGAGAAATTCAACCAAAATGTTCTAACTTATTACATTACATGCATTTTTACCAACGCACGGCTAAACTGTACTTCTTGCCTCCCGCTTGCTTCTACAAATATGCGCTTAGCAGAAACTGTTGCTTAGCAATTGTTAACAATTTTTGTGTTTGCTAATCACGAATCAGCTGAGTACCAGTCACAAGAAATAGTATATAAACTGCATGACGCTTTAGCTGGTGACCTGTTTTACTGAGCAAATATTTTGTGTGCTTTACAAACTTCTATGCCTAGCAGCTTCGTGAATTGAGACGGGTAAATATTACGTTGACCTCGCGAAAGAGGTCGTCAGAATGACAACGCGAGATAAATACTTAGGCCTATTCTGAGTTGTTGGTGAGCTTGCGATAGAGAAAATTCACTATAACATGGATGCTTCTGTGTGAAGGTCTGTAAATAGGCCCAAAATTGCCTACGCGAGCCGAATTATGCCTTCTAATCCTGAGGTATTAAAGCATAATGAGGGCCGTGATCTTGAGGATTTGTCAAAAAGGAGAGGGCATGCCCGTGTAGAGGACTGTGATTACTGTGAAATTTTGATAAAATTAGGGCCTAAAATGGTGCTATTTTGCAATAAAGCGTAGGCGTCCACTTAATGGCGATGGGCTTCAGGACTGCTTTTTGGGTTGATCATCTTTTGGATGGATTTTTCTCCCAACAGTCATGGGTCTATCCCCCCAAAATGTACAACAATGAAAGATGATGAAATAATCGTTAATGTGATGGAATCGGGGATGTAAATTGTACATTAGGATTTGCCCTTCGCCGACGTTAGCGGTACTCGCTACTGCATCATTAGACTCGATTCGGCTAGCCACCCCGGCAAGCTCGTTGGTCGAGTGGTAAGACATATGCACTGTAGTAAGCAGAATGTCGTGGGTTCGAGTCCCACCTGAGTAAGCTTGTGAAAGTTTTTTTCTCGCAAGCACCGAGTATACAGTGTTTATAAAATTCGCCAGCCAAACTTTCCTTTGTAACAGTACTGCATGAAGTGTATTATTTTTTTCTACCCCTGGTGACCTAATCATGCATGGGCCAGTCCTTCGATCTGATGCTTAATGTCTTGAGCTAATTTATCCCATTTAATTCTCTCGTGAGTAGCATCAAAGCAAAAGAGGATATCTTGAAGCTCCCGTGGGACTGCAGATTTGTCCCTTCGAAGCGGGAAAATGACGTGACCGGCTTCCTTGAATTTCAGAGCATGATGCATGAGAAACTTGCACTCCCTCTCGAAACCACTTGTAAGGACGAACAAAATACAAGCACTGCTTTTCATCAAATGCAACTCACTGTTAAGGACGAAGGAACCTGCCAGGGCATATTCTTGGGTTGTGCACCCCTTTAACTTTCTCATTTTCAACTTAGGAAGCAATTCTTCGTGCACCCACTCTGCGTCACTCGCCGTGTGTATCACAAAGAAGTCAAAATCTTTCAGCGTCCGACCAGAGCCCTTTTCAGGTGGTGAATCTCTAATGACCATGCCTCTTATTTCATCTGTTAGTGATGCCGCAGCCCCATCTGCTGGCTTATCATGTGGGTTTTGGTTGGGTGCTTCGAGCCCACTAACCGTTGAGGAGGCCACAATCAGGCTAGGAGCATGTTCAGATGGTGCGACCGGAGACAGAGTGTCCATGGGCTTGGGATTTCCCTTGTCAGGCTCTCCAACACCGTGATCCTCTTTCTCTGGGCTTTCCCAAGACTCCTTGAGTAACCCACCAGGGCGAGGAGGTGGGGCGAGAGGGGACGGCGGTTCGTTAGAAGTCAGCACATACAAAAGACTGTCGTTGTTCTGGATTGTTTTACAGTAGTCGGCAAAGACCTGAAGTTCGTGTTTGTACTCGGGTCTCAAGTTGCCAAAGCCGTGCTTGATGAGGGCGCTAGTCCCGTACTTTTCAACTGCCTGCCTCAAGGACTGAGCCATCTCCTCTAAAGGAGAATCATCCTTTGGATCGCTCTGAAGTAAGCACAGATAACTATTGAACTGCTCATTGAAGTAGCCTGTATACTGCGAAGTGGCAGGCTGCAACTTTAAAGCTTCCTTATATATCTTTATTGACTCGCGATAGTGGCCCAAGTCAAATAAGCAGCGCCCCAGCAAGCGTCTTACTGAAATTAATCGGTTACCATCTTCACAATCTTCAGCTTGTTTCAAGTATTCGAATTCCTGCTCCAGGTATTGCCTTTTTGACTCCTTGGGCTCATCTGGGTCACACTTGGCCAACAAGTGACACACTTCCGCGATATTTTGCAAGTCCCACGAAGCATGGCGAATGACAATGGCCCTCTCCATATCACTTTTTGCGAGTTCTAGAACCCTTCGATCTGGTTTGGGGTTTCGTTTATTATCTTTTTCAGCCTTTTCCATCTTCCATTTGTAGAACTTCAGCTGAACTGTTCCTCTTGTACTGAAAGCGTAGAAGTTATAGTCGCTGTTGTCTAGTGTGATCGACTTATCTAGCAACCTCAGTGCCTCTTTTGTGTTACGCCTGAGTTGATACACAAAGTTTGCGTAGCGAGCTAAGATCCTCGGACTGTTTGGGTCACACTCGAGAGCTTTCATCATGCAAAGCTCCGGGTTTGCAACGTACTTTTTCAGATCGTCCGGCAAATGGGCAGAGCTGCAGTGCTTCCTCAACTGAACCTTGCGGAGAATGTCTCCCAAATGGCGCCAACTTTCGCCTTGGTACTTGGCATCACCGGGACGTTTCTGTGTTATTTCATAGACGATTTCGATGGCTGTGTCCATGTAGTCTGCGGCTTGAGCGAGATGTTCACCGTAGCTAAACCTGTCGAAGATCTTATGCGCATTCTTGGCAATGCAGAATTTCCAAAAGTCCTTCTCCGGAATCTCTACCAGAGTATCCCCAAGCTCCAGTGCTCTTTGGAACATATCATTGGATTCTATGAACCGTTCTGTACTGACGCTGTCACGATCTGTGTGCATATCGCAAGCATAAGCATATGCCTGCTCTGCTAAGCACCTTGCTCTCATCCTAACACGGTCTTCTTCCCCTGTTGACTTACCCAGGTACATGTCAAGTTTCCTTTTGAACCTTTTACCTTCTACTGTTCTGTGAAGTTTATCCAACACGTACTGCATGTTTGCTAGAGCGTTGAGGTTTTGTTCATCCTTAGAGAGGACATCGCGAAATTTTTCTTCGGCAACCTTGTAGCATTCGAGCCGGCATTTGAACACACCAATCAGATTGAGGATGGCAAGCTCCTCAGGTCGGCCTTTTCGCTCCACTAGGTCTGCTTCAATGTCGACCAGCTTCAACTTGAAAGCGTCTTTTTTCAAGTCTGGTTTATTGAAAGGCAGTTGTAAATGGAAAAGCCCCGGTGAAATATTCCTTTCCATGATGGCTGTGCAGACCGAATTTCAGACGGGTAGATCAACTTGATACAGTAACCTGTGGGGAAGAAACAAATGTAAATGTAACCATGCCTGTGAAAAACAGTTTACGGAAACGATCCGAACGAACTTCTAGATATGGCGTACTATTTAACTCGTCGATTATAGTGGACCCCGTATGCGAATAAGAAGGACGCCCGTGTTGGAGTCGCCACTCTCCCCCATAATGGTCCGGCTATAAACTGTATACGCTGTTCATGGTTGAAATGATAATCATTTCCCCCGAAACCTCCTATTACATTTTTTTCAAGTGTCACAGGCCTATCTGTGGACATACTGACAGGTAGCATAAAGAGCTCTTTTTTCCGTGGGGGTGGGGGGGATGATTAGTGATGATCATGACAGTGATGGTGATTTTTATCCCAGTATATGGTCCCATCAGTTTGATCAGGTTGTCAAAGATGATATGGTAATGATGTGGCATTAATGATCATGATAGTGATAGTGGAGATGGTTGTGATGATGTTGGTGATGGTGATGTTTATCTCTGTGGGCCAAGGATGTGGTCAGGTTGTCAAAGATGATCATGGTGGTGATGCGATGGTGGTGATCCCGATAGCGATGACAGTGGTAGTTGTGGTGCTTTTTATCACTGTATGGGCCCATTAGTTTGGTCAGGTTGTCAAAGATAATGTGGTGATGATGTGTAAATATAATGATCATGATAGTGATTCCGGAGAATGTTGTTGTGATGGTATTTTTTTTATCTCTGCATTGGTCCATGAGTGTTGTCAGGTTGTCAGTGATTATGGTGGTGATGTGATGGGGATGATCCTGATGGTGATGACAGTTGTAGTTGTGGTGATGTTGGTAATGGTAATGGTGATATTTTTATACCTTTATTGGCCCATGGTGTGGTCGGGTTGTCAAAAATGATTAGGGTGGCGATGTGATGGTGATGATCCTAAGAGTGATGACTTTGGTAGTTGAAGTGATTTTGTTGAAGGTGATTGTTATCCCTGTATGGGCCCATGAATTTGGTGAGGTTGTCAAAGATGATATGGTGTTAATGATCATGATGGGGATGCTAGTGATGACTATGGTGATGGTGAATTGCATCACCATAACGGCCCAGGTGGTAATGAGGTTGTAAAAGAAGATGCGATGGTGATATGTTGATGATGGTGATGACGACGACGACGATGATGATGATGAATTGATGATAATGGAGGGGATGGTGAATTTCCCCATATATGGGCACATGAGTGTGGTCAGTTTGTCAAAGATAATGTGGTGATGATGTGTCAGTATAATGATCATGATAGTTATTGCGGAGAATGTTGTTGTGATGGTGATTTTTTTTATCTCTGCATTGGTCCATGAGTGTTGTCAGGTTGTCAGTGATTATGGTGGTGATGTGATGGGGATGATCCTGATGGTGATGACAGTCGTAGTTGTGCTGATGGTGATTTTCCCCCTGTATTGGCCCATAAGTGTGGTGAGGTTGTCAAAGATGATCATGGGTGGTGATGTCATCACTGATGTGATGTGATGATCCTGATTAGAGATGACGTTGGTAGTTGTGCTGATGGTGATTTTATCCCTGTATTGACCCCTGAGTGTGGTGAGGTTTTCAATTGACATCATATTATGCCTATTTTGGGCCATGTATGTGGTCAGGTTGTCCAAGATGATGGTGGTGATGGGTTAGTGATTAACATGATGCCTATGATGATGGTGTTTTCATATACCTGTATGGGACCATAGATGTGGTCAGGTTGTCAAACATGATATGGTGGTGATGTGTTTGTGATGATCATAACAGTGTTAGTGGTGAATATGGTGATGGTGAGGATGACATAATGGTGATGCTGGTGATATTTGGCTTCGGCTTAATTATGACACCAATCATTAAAAAAAATCCAAAGGTATGACACAAACTGTTCCTTACGCTTAACCCATGTCAGTACAAATAAAAGGGAGCCTACAATTTTTTTCCATTGACGAATCATCACTATTTCTAGATAACCTGGGGGCAGGGGTGTACGTGTGTGGGGGAACATAATGTGAAGCCCAACATGCCATAAAAGCAAACGTACGTACCTGGCAGTTTCCCAAATAATAGTTAGGGAAGTAGTCGATGTCTTCTTTCGTCACTATCATGTACACTGCGTAGTTGAAACCACATCCACAAAATACACAATAGTACATTCGGTAGAAGCTCCTGAATAAGGATGACAACCGGGGCTGACTTTGGCACAGAGCCACCGCCCCAACGACTCCACAAACCCCGCCCACAAATTAAAGAAATCCTTCCTCATTCATAAACTAATCATCGACTTCGACAAGAGCATTAAGTTGTGCACCATCATCGTACGATTGCAAAATGTCGACATGCAATTGGGATTACCTATACTGCGCATGTTTGCAAACACCATAGGTGTTAAAGGTTAAAGGTCTTTGTTTTTCAGTACATCCTTTTAATGCCAACTTTTAAAGGGCAATAAAGGAGAAGAGCAGTAAACAAAATCATAAATTTCAAACGGTTAATGACTACTTTTTTTCCCAAAATCTTTAGGAAATTTAATCAGGTAGTCCACAACAGGGGAAAATTCGTAAAATGTGTAGGTGACTGGGGAAAACGTCTATTATTTTGCTCCAGCCCTTTAAAATCTCCGGTAAAGGCCGATCATTTTCTGTACAAAATCATGTCAGAATACGCGAAGGATTGTGGGTGAAGCGCACTGACCTGACGTGCGCGCACATGAACAACCCGCGTTGGTGACCTTGACGTCACAGGTCGGCATCCAATCACGGTATCCTATTCTGATCTAACGATATCATCCCATGTACTGCGTGCCTTCGGTTCATGGCCGCGCAAGTACAAGTACGAGTGCGACCCAACCTCGTCCCCAGTGCTTACTTTATTTCCAACATCGTTTCCAATAGTAAGCCCTGGATAGGAAACTTTCTTCCTGTGTCCTGATTCGATACCGCAATTGGCTAGAAATGGATTTATATCGTGTACTTGGTGTTGTTATTCACAACGTGCAGTACGTGTTTTCGTGATCATTCGTCCACGCCTTCTCGAAAATATTCGTCTCCTTTGATACTGCATGTTGTCTCGTTAAGATCGTAACATTATTAAAATAAAATCGTATTTTCGAAACTCATGCCATGCTCGCGCTGCGACGAATTGATTCTGCTTTTATCCCAGACACCGCATACAAAAACAAATGCAAATGTAACGCACATGCAGGCACCAGACTATTCCTCATTTGCATCAATCATGCACATGCAATTGTGAGAGAGCGGGTAGTGGTGGGCGCGTACTGCTCAACACCCTGGGGACGAGGTTGGAGTGCGACCAAGTTCACGTTCAGAATTTCTCATCGGGGGAAATCCCAGCGGTGAGTAATCGTATTCATATGCAAATAGCTTATGAACTGTGTTTATGGCGACTCTGCATGCAGCGCAGAAGCACAATGTGCCGTTAACACTGCTGGTACAACAAGCGCGATAGTATGGAAGTGTAGATAGGACATGGTTAAAAATAAAACTAATTCGTACGTACGAATTACTAAACCGTACGTACGAAATACTAATTCGTACGTACGAATTACTAAACCGTACGTACGAATTACTAAACCGTACGTACGAATTACTAAACCGTACGTACGAATTACTAATTCGTACGTACGAATTACTAAACCGTACGTACGAATTACTAAATCGTACGTACGAATTACTAAACCGTACGTACGAATTACTAATTCGTACGTGCGAATTACTAATTCGTACGTACGAATTACTCAGTGGCGTAGCCACGGGAGGGGGGGGGGGCCGTGGGGGCAGTGGCGTAGCCAGGTTTTTGTCAGTTAAGGGGGGGGGGGGGCCGCTGCTGGGGGGCTGGAACATTTCATGGGGGTGTCAAGTAGATCAATGATAACTTTTTTAGACACTCAAAATCTCAGTGGGGGGCGACAGGGGGAAACAAGGTTTCATGGGGGGGGCTGTCACCCCCACGGCCCCCCCCCCCCCGTGGCTACGCCACTGCGACAGCCCCCCCCCCCCCCATGAAACCTTGTCGCTCCCCCCAAGTCGCCCCCCCCCCCCACTGAGATTTTGAGTTTCTAAAAAAATTATCATTGATCTACATGACGCCCCCACAACCTGAAATGTTCCAGCCCCCCCCCCCCCCCCCCCGGCCCCCCCCCCCCCCCCCCCCACGGGAAAATTCCTGGCTACGCCACTGGAATTTATGGAAGTGTAGATAGGACATGGTTACAAATAAATCTAATTCGTACGTACGAGTTACTAAACCGTACGTACGAATTACTAATTCGTACGTACGAATTACTAATTCGTGCGTACGAATTACTAAACCGTACGTACGAATTACTAAATCGTACGTACGAATTACTAAACCGTACGTACGAATTACTAAACCGTACGTACGAATTAATAAATCGTACGTACGAAAAAATTAGTAATTCGTACGTACGGTTTAGTAATTCCAGTGGGGGGGGGGGGGGGGGCGCTGAGGGGGGGGGGGGCCTGGAACATTTCATGTGGGGGGGGCGTCATGTAGATCAATGATAATTTTTTTTAGAAACTCAAAATCTCAGTTGGGGGGGGGGGCGACTTGGGGGGGGACTTGGGGGGGCGACTTGGGGGGGCGACAAGGTTTCATGGGGGGGGGGGGCTGTCGCAGTGGCGTGGCCACGGGGGGGGGGGGGTGGAGCGCGTTGGGGTGACAGCCCCCCCCCCCCCCCATGAAACCTTGTCGCCCACCAGTCGCCCCCACTGAGATTTTGAGTTTCTAAAAAAATTATCATTGATCTACATGACACCCCCCCCCCATGAAATGTTCCAGCCCCCCAGCGCCGCCCCCCCCCCCTGAAAAAAATCCTGGCTACGCCACTGCCCCCACCCCCCCCCCCCCCTCCCGTGGCTACGCCACTGAGTAATTCGTACGTGCGATTTATTAATTCGTACGTACGGTTTAGTAATTCGTACGTACGAATTAGTATTTCGTACGTACGAATTAGTATTTCGTACGTACGAATTAGTATTTCGTACGTACGGTTTAGTAATTCGTACGTACGAATTAGTTTTAATTTTAACCATGTCCTATCTACACTTCCATAGGAATTGCTAAACCGTACGTACGAATTAATAAACCGTACGTACGAATTAATAATCCGTACGTACGAATTAATAAATCGTACGTACGAATTAGTAATTATTTCGTACGTACGATTTAGTAATTCGTACGTACGGTTTAGTAATTCGTACGTACGGTTTGGTAATTCGTACGTACGGTTTAGTAATTCGTACGTACGAATTAGTAATTCGTACGTACGGATTAGTAATTCGTACGTACGAATTAGTATTTCGTACGTACGGTTTAGTAATTCGTACGTACGAATTAGTTTTATTTTTAACCATGTCCTATCTACACTTCCATACGATAGGCCTTCCACACTCGACTATTTATATTCTCCGGTGTAGCGTGAATATCCGACTCCATGAAATATGAACTTGTTGGTAGTATTGCGCATGCGTAAGTATGATAATATGCTATTTATAGGATAATATATATGAGAGTGACCTGTCACGTGCGAGGGATTAACCAATAATAGGGAATAATAGGGATTCTCATATGACACGAGTCGTAGGCATGCTGCTGTAGGTTTATTTCGTTCATGGTATTGAGAGCTCAGGTAGGCTTAAACTTGAGAAAATATTTTAATTACTAGTATCCAAATCCGCAGAACATGTTAAAGAGGTTCTAGCAATCAAAGAAAAAAAATCATATTTTTTTTTGACAACAGCAATCTAAACGTTTTATTGAAAATAAAAACGGTTTATAGAATTGTACAATGCACAATGTACAAGAAATAACATTTTCTACAACACTGTCATTTATTCATGGATACCTGTTGTTTGGAAATTGATACAGAGGAAGCCAGCAGACAGAATAATTTGACGGAGTGTTTTAGTACCAGTAAGATCTTAAATCCAAGCTTTTTGATAATTGAATTCGGTCGGGTATTGGGATAGATGCAGTTGATCCTATATGCCTTTAAAACAAACTACATAGTCTCCGCCAAGTCATCAGGCTCTGGTTACTTTGGAAACCTGACATTATTATGTACATCATGGTGACAAACAATTGCTTCAAATTTATATACTGTTGCTCCGCCAGTGCTGTTCGTCACACTGAGTTTTTTTTTTTTTTTTTTTAACCTATACTGCTTAATCTTATATCCCCTTGTGGCAACTCATCGGAAAACCCACCATTTTGAGAAATTCGACCAAAATGTTCTAACTCGTACACTGCATGCATTTTTACCAATGCACGGCTAAATTGAGTCTTGATTCCAAGACGTCCTTAGTGGTGCATTGGACTGTGAAGCGATTCACCGTAGCGGGCGCCCTTAATTAACACACACGCTATGCGCCAATTAAACAGGCTGCAAAGGCTGCAGACCAGTAAACAGGCCCGAAATTGTCTACGAAAATGGCGGCCAAATCACGATTTGCATGCCCACAAATTATCCGGTATTAGAACATTTTTACGTCCGAAAACTTGAGGGTTGTAGTAAAATAAAATGAAAAAAAAAAGTGGAAGCCGTGCAGAGGACTGCGAGCTCGTATTTCTGTGAAATTCGGATTAAATAGGGCCCTAAAATAATAAATGGCTCTATTTTTGCAATGGAGCGTTTATGCGTCCTTTTTCAAAATGGCGATGGGCTTCAGGAGTACTTTTAGAGGTGATCACATTTGGATGGAATTTTCTCCCCAAATCATTGGTTCATCCCAAAAAAAATTGGACAGAAATTGAAAGATGATGAAATACGCTTTAATTTGATGTGTGTCTCAAACACCTTGGAGAGTTGTGAGCATTTTAAATATTTTTTTGGAAATGCGCGTATTTATCACTGAGGTCTATGTATGCAGTCTATTTACTGGCCTGCAATCCAAAGCACTTTGTGTGCGGTTCGTCGACTTCAGAGTCAGGTTCGCGAATGGGAACCTCATGCTGCTGCGCGGTACAAAGGATGTACTGTCTATCGTGAACTACCCAGCTAAGAACGTTTTGCACCCACACTAGGCTAAATTGTAATTCTTGCCTACCCGTATACCTCCTGCTTCTGCGCATGTGCACTTCGCTGAAAATGTTTAGCAATTTAATTTGGTACTAAGCACCAATCAGCTGAGTACCAATTACAACAAAAAATACATAAACTGCATGAAGCTTTGGCTGGTAACATGTTTTACTAGTGAGCAAATATTTTGTGTGCTTAGCAAACTTCTTCTAGCAGCTCCGTCTATCGAGACGGGTAAATACTTATTTAACGTTTACCTCGCGAAAGAGGTAGTAAGAATGACAACGCACTGATTGATCGCAATGAATTAGCGTTATGGTTTGAAGATAAATACTTAGTCTGAGTTGTTGGTGAGCTTGCAATAGAAGCTATAACACGGATGCTTCTCCATGGGTACAGCTAGACTGCCACCAATTGGTCCTCTTTTTTGGAAATGTAATGTACATGCATTGCGCTATAGTGGTCGCATATTATGAATATCCGTCCTAAATCGTTCTTTTAAAGTAGGTATCACGCGCGTCGAGACCCGGTCATAAGATACAGCGGCGCGCTTATAGATATTAGTGGCGGCGACGGACAAAACACGACTGTCTAGCGACTCGTCCTCAAGTCTACATTGTTTTTTGTTTATAAGATGGAATTTGCGTCAGGGAGATGTAAATTTTATATTGGGATTTGCACTTCGACGACGTATTTTTTTAAAGTTCGGTTGTGGTACCCGCATCATCAGACTCGAACCGGCCAGCCGAACCGGGAAAGCGCGGTGGTCGAGTGGTAAGACGTCTGCACTAGTAAGCAGGAGGTCGTGGGTTCGAGTCCCACTTGATTAAGCTTGTGATAGTTTTTCTCGCAAGCACTGAGTGTACAGTCTCTATAAAATACGCCGGCCAAGGGAAAAACCCACTAAAAAATGTGCATATTGTTGTACGCATGTTCATGAACTCGGTGGTTGAATTAGCCGGTGGTATTGTAGTGGGGAGCTCAGTGGTAAGCCTGCAGTGCTTAGCAGGGATGGACTAAGTTCAGGAACTAAAAATGGCGCTGGACACATCAGTGGCAACGGACATCATCATTGGGTGGTGTATCTTCGTTTGTGAAGAACGACGCCGGCACCTGCTGAGCACTCTATAACAGTACTGGAGTGTATGTTTTTTTGTACCTCTGGTGGCCTAATCATGCACGGGCAATTCCTTAGCTGCATCGATCTGACGCTTAATGTCTTGAGCTAATTTATCCCAATTTACTCTCTCCCGAGTAGCATCGAAGCAAAAGAGGATATCTTGAAGCTCCCGTGGAACTGCAGATTTGCCCCTTCGAAGCGGGAAAATGACGTGACCGGCTTTCTTGAGTTTCAGAGCATGATGCATGAGAAACTCGCACTCCGTTTCGAAACCACTTGTAAGGACGAACAAAATACACGCACTGCTTTCCATCAAATGCAACTCATTGCTAAGGACGAAGGAACCTGCTAGGGCATATTCTTGGGTTGTGCACCCCTTTAATTTTCTGATCCCCAACTTGGGAAGCAATTCTTCGTGCACCCACTCTGCGTCACTTGCCGTGTGTACCACAAAGAAGTCAAAATCTTTCCGACCACAGCCCTTTTCAGGTGGTGAATCTGTAATGGCCATGCTTCTTATTCCCTCCACTAGTGATGCGGCAGCCCCATCTGCTAGCTTATCTGGGGTTTGGTTGGATGCCACTGCTGATACAGTAGCTTGACTTGCTTGTTCATCTGGGTATTGGTTGGGTGCTTCGAGCCCACTATCTGGTGAGGGGGCCACATCTTTGCCGGCATCAATCAGGCTAGGAGTATGTTCAGATGGTACGACCGGAGACAGACTGTCCAAGGTCTTGGGATTTTCCTTTTTGGGCTCTCCAACACCGTGATCCTCTTTCTCTTTCTCTGGGCTTTCCCAAGACTCCTTGAGTAACCCACCAGGGCGAGGAGGTGGGGTAAGAGGGGACGGTGGTTCGTTAGAAGTCAGCACAAACAAGAGACTGTCGTGGCCCGGGATTGTTTTACAGTAGTCGCTGAAGACCTGAACCTCGTGTTTGTACTCTACTCTCAATGTGCCAAAGACGTTCTTGATGAGGGCGCTCGTCCCATACTTTTCAACGGCCTGCCTCAAGGACTGGGCCATCTCCTCCAAGGGGGAATCATCCTTCGGATCGCTCTGCAGTAGGCACAAATAACTGCGGAATTGTTCATAGAAATAACCTGTATACTGCGAAGTGGCTGACTCCAAATTCAAAATTTCATCATACAGCTGAATGGACTCGCGATAGTGACCCAAGTCAAATAGGCAGCGCCCCAGCAAGCGTTTCACTGAAATTAACCGGTTACCGTCCTCACAATCTGCAGCCTTTTTCAAGTACTCGAACTCCTTCTCCAGGTATTGCCGTTTTGACTCCTTGGGCTCATCTGGGTCACACTGGACCAAAAGGTGATACACGTCCGCGACATTTAGCAAGTCCCACGACGCATGGCGTATGTCAATTGCCCTCTCCATATCAATTTTTGCGAGTTCTAGCACGCTTCGATCTGGTTTGGAGTGCCGTTTATTATCTAACTCAGCCATTCGCATCTTCCATTTGTAGAACTTCAGCCGAACTGTTCCTCTCGTACTGAAAGCGTAGAAATTGTAGTCGCTGTTGTCTAGTGTGATCGACTTATCCAGCAATCTCAGTGCCTCTTTTGTGTAATGCCTGAGGTGATACACAAAGTTAGCGTAGCGGGCTAGGATCCTCGGATTGTCCGGGTCACACTCGAGTGCTTTCTTCATGCATAGCTCCGGGTCTGCAACGTACTTTTTCAGATCGTCCGGCAAATGGGCAGAACTGCAGTGCTTCCTCATCTGAACCTTGCGGAGAATGTCTCCCAAATGGCGCCAACTTTCGCCTTGGTATTTGGAATCACCGGGATCCTTCTGTGTTATTTCATAGAAGATCCCGATAGCTGTGTCCATGTAGTCTGTGGCTTGAACGCGATGTTCACCGAAGCTTAACCTGTCGAAAATCTTATGCGCGTTCTTGGCAATGCAGAATTTCCAAAAGTCCTTCTCCGCCGTCTCTACCAGATCACCACCAAGCTCCAGTGTCCTTTGGAAGATATCATTCGATTCTATGAACCACTCTTTACCAACGCTGTCACGATCTGTGTGCATATCGCAAGCATAAGCATATGCCTGCTCTGCTAAGCACCTTGCTCTCATCCTAACACTGACTGCATCCTCCGTAGACTTACTTAGGAACATGTCAAGTTTCTTTTTGAACCTTTTACCTTCTACTGTCCTGTAAAGTTTATCCAAAACATACTGCATGTTTGCTAGAGCGTTGAGGTTGTGTTCATCCTTAGAGAGGACATCACGGAACTTTTCTTCAGCATCCTTGTAGCATTCGAGCCGGCATTTGAACAGACCAATCAGATTGAGGATGGCAAGTTCCTCAGGTCGGCCTTTTCGCTCCACTAGGTCTGCTTCAATGTCGAGCAGCTTCATCTTGAAAGCGTCTTTTTTCAAGTCTGGTTTATTGAAAGGCAGTTGTAAATGGAAAAGCCCCGGTGAAATATTCCTTTCCATGATGGCTGTGCAGACCGAATTTCAGACGGGTAGATCAACTTGATACAGTAACCTGTTGGGAAGAAACAAATGTAAATGTAACCATGCCTGTGAAAAACAGTTTACAGAAACGATCCGAACGAACTTCTAGATATGGCGTACTATTAACTCGTCGATTATAGTGGACCCCGTATGCGAATAAGAAGGACGCCATATGGTCCGGCTATAAACTGTATACGCTGTTCATGGTTGAAATGATAATCATTTCCCCCGAAACTTCCTATTACATTTTTTCAAGTGTCACAGGCCTATCTGTGGACATACTGACAGGTAGCATAAAGAGCTCTTTTATTCCGTGGGGGTGGGGTGGGGGGGGGGGGTTGTGATTTGATGATCATGACAGTGATGGTGGTGATGGTGATTTTTATCCCCGTATATGGTCCCATCAGTTTGATCAGGTTGTCAAAGATGATATGGTAATGATGTGGCAGTAATGATCATGATAGTGGAGGTGGTTGTGATGATGTTGGCGATGGTGATTTTTATCTCTGTGGGCCAAGGGTGTGGTCAGGTTGTCAAGGATGATCACGGTGGTGATGTGATGGTGATGATCCCGATAGCCATAACAGTGGTAGTTGTGCTGATGAAGATGTTTTTATCCCTGCAGGGGGCCACAAGTGTTGGGTTGGTAAAGATTATTATGGTGATGATCCTGATACTGATAATGGTGGAAGTTGTAGTAATTTTGGCGATGGTGATTTTTATCCCCGTATGGGCCCATGAGTTTGGTCAGGTTGTCAAAGACATTGTGGTGATGATGTGTCAACGAATTTTTAATTTAATTAATTGGTTTATTTCATAAAAATCATATTGCAGCAAAATGCTGAATTACATGACATTTACAGTGTTCAATAAAAAAGACAGCTAAACACAAAAATGTATTAAAAAAAAAAAAAACCTCACCAAGATGACAGACGATTTAAAATGAAGAAACACAGAGCATAAAAATAACATGGCAGCTGCTGAAGAGCGCCCTCAATAAAAAAAGATAATGATCATGATCATGATAGTGATTGCGGAGAATGTTGTTGCGATGGTGATTTTTTTTATTCCTGCATTACTCCGTAAGTGTTGTCAGGTTGTCAATGATTATGGTGATGATGTGATGGGGATGATCCTGATGGTGATGACAGTCGTAGTTGTTGTGATGTTGGTAATGGTGATATTTTTATACCTTTATTGGCCCATGGGTGTGGTCAGGTTGTAAAAAATGATTAGGGTGGCGATGTGATGGTGATGATCCTAAGAGTGATGACTGTAGTAGTTGTAGTGATTTTGTTAAAGGTGATTGTTATCCCTGTATGGGCCCATGAGTTTGGTGAGGTTGTCAAAGATGATTATGGTGGTGATGTATTGGTGATGGTGATACATGTTGGGGATGCTAGTGATGATTATGGTGATATGCAATATCGGCCCAGGTGGTAATGAGGTTGTCAATGATGATACGATGGTGTTTTGGTGGTGATGGTGATGATGATGATGATTTATTGATGATAATGGAGGTGATGGTGATTTTTCCCTATTTGGGCACATGAGGTTGTCAAAGATGATGATGGTGGAGATGGGATGGTGATGATCCTGATAGTGATGACGGTGGTAGTTGTGTTGATGGTGATTTTTTCCCCTGTATTGGCCCATGAGTGTTGTCAAAATATTGTCAATAATGATTATAGTGGTCATGTAATGGTGAAGATCCCGATAGTGATGCAGGTGATATTTGTGGTGAATTTGGTGATTTTTATCCCCGTATGGGCCCATGCGTGTGGTCAGGTTGTCAAAGATGATCATGGTGGAGATGTTATGTGAAGATCCTGATTGTGATGACGGTGGTTGTGGTGATAATGCTTTTTATCCCTGTTATATGTATGGGCCCATGAGTGTGGCCAGGTTTTCAAAGATGATCATGGTGGTGATGTTATATGATGATCCCGATTGAGATGACGGTGGTAGTTGTGATGATGGTGATTTTTATCTCTGTATGGGTCCATACGAGTGTGGTCAGGTTGTCAAAGATGATTATGGGAATGATATGATGGTGATGATCCTGATTGTGATGACAGTCGTAGTTGTAGTGATGGCGATGTTTATCTCTGTATGGGTGCATGAGTGTGGTCAGGTTGTCAAAGATGATCATGGTGGTGATATTTTTGTGATGATCCTGGCGGTGATCGATGACGGTGGTAGTTGTGGTGATTGTGATTTTTATCTCTGTATGGGTCCATGAGTGTGGTCAGGTTGTCAAATACATGTATTATTATCGGGATGATGTGTTGGTTGTCAAATACATGTATTATTATGGGGATGATGTGATGGTGATGATCCTGATGGTCATGACGGTTGTAGTTATATGGTGATGTTTATCTCAACACTCATGGTCGGGTTGTCAAAGATGATTATGGTGGTGATGTGATGGGGATGATTCAAATGGTGATGACAGTGGTAGTTGTGGTGATGTTAGTGATGGCAATTCTTATCCCTGTATGGGCCCATGAGTGTTGTCAGATTGTCAAGGTGATTATGATGATGATGTGATGGGGATGATCCAAATAGTGATGACAGTGGTAGTTGTGGTGATGTTGATCATGGTGATTTTTATCCCTGTATGGGCCCATTTATGATCAGGTCGTCAAAGATGACTATGGGGATGATGGGGATGATACTGATGTTGATGACGGTGGCAGTTGTGGTGATGGTGATATGTTTGGGTCCATGAGTGCGGTCAGGTTTTCAAAGATGATTATAGTGATGATGTGATGGGGAACATGATAGTCAGTGGCGTAGCCAGGAATTTTTCAGTGGGGGGGGGGGGCCGCTGGGGGGCTGGAACATTTCATGGGGGGGGGGGCGGCATGTAGATCAATGATAATTTTTTTTAGAAACTCAAAATCTCAGTGGGGGGGGGGGCGACTGGGGGGGCGACAAGGTTTCATGGGGGGGGGGCTGTCGCCCCCTACGCCCCCCCCCCCCCGTGGCTACGACACTGATGATAGTTGTGGTCATGGTTATGATGATGGTTGATACATTTGTTGCCAATTAGTGTTGCCAGGTTTTCAAGCACGATAATATGGTGGTGATGTGATGGTGATGATCCTGAGATTGATAACGGTGACGTTTGAGGTGATGCTATTGATTGTGACTTGTATGCCTCTGTTGGGCCATGGATTTGCTCAGGTTGTCCAAGATGATGGTGGTGATGGGTTAGTAATTAACATGATGCCTATGATGATGGTGTTTGTTTTTTTTATCCCCGTATGGGGTCATACAGGTTGTCAAGATGATATGGTGGTGATGTGTTAATTGGTGATGATCATGATAGTGTTAGTGGTGATCATGGTGGAGATGACGTAATGGTAATCGTGGTGATATTTGGCTTGGGCTTGTGAACACAGACACCAAAAAATCAAAGGTATGACACAAACTGTTCCTTACCGTGCCTACCCCATGTCAGTGAAATTAAAAGGGAGCCTTTACAATTATTTCCATTCACGAATCATCACTACTGAGAACCTGCATGGGGGCAATGGTGATGGGGATGATATGTGGGCTCATAAACACTGACACCGATGATCATTTCAAAGGTATGAAAAAACAGTTCCCTTCCCCATGCCAGTAAAATTATAAGGGAACCTGCAATTATTTTCATTCACGAATCATCACTATATTTTCAGAGAACCTGGGGGCAGAGGCGTACTTGTGTGTGTGTGGGCACATGATGTGAAGCCCAACATGCCATAAAAGCAAACATACGTACCTGACAGTTTCCCAAACATTAGTTAGGGAAGTAGTCGATGTCCTCTCTCGTCAGTATCGTGTACACTGCGTAGTTGAAACCACATCCACAAAATACACAACAGTACATTCGGTAGAAGCTCCTGAATCTGGACGACAACCGGGGCTGACTTTGGCATAGAGCCACCGCCCAAACGACTCCACAAACCCCGCCCACAAATTAAAGAAATCCCTCCTCACTCATAAACTAATAATCGACTTCGGCAATTAGAGCATTCGATGGGGCACCATCATCGTACGATTGCAAAATGTCGACATGCAATTGGGATTGCCTATACTGCGCATGTTTGCAAACACCATAGGTGTTAAAGGTTAAAGGTCTTTGTTTTTCAGTACATAATTTTAATGCCAACTTTTAAATGGCAAGAAAGGAGAAGAGCAGTAAACAAAATCATCAATTTCAAACGGTTAATGACTACTTTTTTCCCCAAAATCTTTAGGAAATTTAGTCAGGTAGTCCACAACAGGGGAACATTTCTAAAATGTGTAGGTGACTGAGGAAAACGTCTATTATTTTGCTCGAGCCCTTTAAAATCTCCGGTACAGGCCGATCATTTTCTGTACAAAATCATGTCAGAATACGCGAAGGATTGTGGGTGAAGCGCACTGACCTGACGTGCGCGCACATGAACAACCAGCGTTGGTGACCTTGACGTCACAGGTCGGCATCCAATCACGGTATCCTATTCTAATCTAACGATATCATCCCATGTACTGCGTGCCTTCGGTTCATGGCCGCGCAGGCACAAGTACGAGTGCAACCCAACCTCGTCCCCAGTGCTTACTTTATTTACAACATCGTTTCCAATAGTAAGCCCTGGATAGGAAACTTTCTTCCTGTATCCTGATTCGATACCGCAATTGGCTAGAAATGGATTTATATCGTGTACTTGGTGTTGTTATTCACAACGTGCAGTACGTGTTTTCGTGATCATTCGTCCACGGCTTCTCGAAAATATTCGTCTCCTTTCCAACTTGTTCATATCAATATGAAATGTGATACTGCATGTTGTCTCGTTAAGATCGTAACATTATTAAAATAAAATCGTATTTTCGAAACTCATGCCATGCTCCAGCCTCGACTCCAGGGGCGCGTGCTCGTTCGTTACGATCGCGCAAGGCATGATGGGAAACAACATGGCGCTGCAAGATCGTACCCACGGGGCACGAGGTTGGCCATGCTCGCGCTGCGCCGAATTGATTCTGCTTTTATCCCAGACACCGCATACAAAAACAAATGCAAATGTAACGCACATGCAGGCACCAGACTATTCCTCATTTGCATCAATTTTGCACATGCAATTGTGAGAGAGCTGGTAGTGGTGGGCGCGTACTGCTCGAAACCCTGGGGACGAGGTTGGAGTGGGACCAAGGTCACGTTCAGAATTTCTCATCGGGGGAAATCCCAGCGGTGAGTAATCGTATTCATATGCAAATAGCTTATGAAATGTGTTTATGGCCACTCTGCAGCCAGTGGCACAATGTGCCGTTAACACAGCTGGTACAACTAGCGCGATAAGCCTTCCACACTCGACTATTTATATTCTCCGGTGTAGCGTGAATATCCGACTCAATGAAATATGAACTTGTTGGTAGTTTTGCGCACGCGTTAAGTATGATAATATGCTATTTATAGGATAATATATATGAGAGTGACCTGTCACGTGCGAGGGATTAACCAATAATAGGGAATAATAGGGATTCTCATATGACACGAGTCGTAGGCATGTTCTGCTGTATGTTTATTTCGTTCATGGTATTGAGAGCTCAGGTAGGCTTAAACTTGAGAAAATATTTTAATTACTAGTATCCAAATCCGCAGGACATGTTAAAGAGGTTCTAGCAATCAAAGAAAAAAAATCTTATATTTTTGACAACAACAGTATAATTTTTTTATTGAAAACAAAAACGGTTTAAAGAATTGTACAATGCACAATGTACAAGAAATAAAATTTTCCACAACACTTTCATTTATTCATGGATACCTGTTGTTTGGAAATAAATACAGAGGAAGCCAGCAGACAGAATAATTTGACGGGGTGTTTAGTACCAGTAAGATCTTAAATCCAAGCTTTTTGATAATTGAATTCGGTCGGGTATTGGGCTAGATGCAGTTGATCCTATATGCCTTTAAAACAAACTACATAGTCTCCGCCAAGTCATCAGGCTCTGGTTACTTTGGAAACCTGACATTATTATGTACATCATGGTGACAAACAATTGCTTCAAATTTATTTACATTTGCTCCGCCAGTGCTGTTCGTCACACTTGGTGGGTTTTTTTCCCAAGTTTTTTTTTACCATATACCGCTTAATCTTATATCCCCTTGTGGCAACTCATAGGAAAACCCACCATTTTGAGAAATTCGACCAAAATGTTCTAACTCGTATACTGCATGCATTTTTACCAATGCACGGCTAAATGTACTCTTTGTTCGAAGATATCCTTAGTGGTGCATTGGACTGTGAAGGGATTCACCGACGCGTAGCGGGCGCCCTTAATTAACACACACGGTATAAACAGGCCGCAAAGGCTGCAGACCAGTAAACAGGCCCGAAATTGTCTACGAAAATGGCGGCCAAATCACGATTTGCATGCCCAGAAATTATCCGGTATTAGAGCATTTTTACGTCCGAAAACTTGAAGGTTGTAGTAGAAATAACATGGAAAAAAGTGGAAGCCGTGCAGAGGACTGCGAGCTCGTATTTCTGTGAAATTCGGATGAAATAGGGCCCTAAAATAATGAATGGCTCTATTTTTGCAATGGAGCGTATATGCGTCTTTTTTCAAAATGGCGATGGGCTTCAGGAGTACTTTTAGAGGTGATCACATTGGTTCCTCCCAAAAAAAATTGACAGAAAATGAAAGATGATGAAATAGCTTTAATTTGATGTGTTTCTCAAACACCTTGGAGAGTTGTGAGCATTTTAAATAATTTTTGGAAATGCGCGTATTATCACTGAGGTCTATGTATGCAGTCTATTTACTGGTCTGCAATCCAAAGCACTTTGCGTGCGGTTCGTCTACTTCGTAAGTCAGGTTCGCGAATGGGAACCGCATGCTGCTGCGCGGTACAAAGGATGTACTGTCTATCGTGAACTACCCAGCTAAGAACGTTTTGCACCCACACTAGGCTAAATTGTAATTCTTGCCTACCCGTATACCTCCTGCTTCTGCGCATGTGCACTACGTTGAAAATGTTTAGCAATTTAATTTGGTACTAAGCACCAATCAGCTGAGTACCAATTACAACAAAAATGACATAAACTGCATAAAGCTTTGGCAGGTATTACATGTTTTACTAGTGAGCAAGTGCGCTTAGCAAACTTCTATGTCTAGCAGCTCCGTCTATCGAGACGGGTAAATATTTATTTTACGTTTACCTCGCGAAAGAGGTAGTAAGAATGACAACGCACTGATTGATCGCAATGAGTTAGCGTTTTGGTTTGAAGATAAATACTTAGTCTGAGTTGTTGGTGAGCTTGCAATAGAAGCTATAACACGGATGCTTCTCCATGGGTACAGCTAGACTGCCACCAATAATCCTCTTTTTTGGAAATGCAATGTACATGCATTGCGCTATAGTGGTCGCATATTATGAATATCCGTCCTAAATCGTTCTTTTGAAGTAGGTATCACGCGCGTCGAGACTGGGCATAAGATAATAAACATAATACATATAGGCGCGCTGGTAGATATTGGTGGCGCCGATGGACAAAACACGACTGTCTAGCGACTTGTCCTCAAGTCTACATGTTTTTTGTTTATAAGATGGAATTTGCGTCAGGGAGATGTAAATTTTATATTGGGATTTGCACTTCGACGACGTATTTTTTTAAAGTTCGGTTGTGGTACCCGCATCTATACATCATCAGACTCGAACCGGCCAGCCGAACCGGGAAAGCGCGGTGGTCGAGTGGTAAGACGTCTGCACTAGTAAGCAGGAGGCTATGGGTTGGAGTCCTACCTGAGTAAGCTTTTGATTTTTTTTCTTGCAAGCACTCGGACAGTACTGGGTATACAGTATTTATAAAATACGCTGGTGAAGGGCAAAACCCACAATGTACATTGTTGTTAACATGTGAACTCAGCCGGCGGAATTTAATGGTGAGCTCAGTGTGGTGAGCCGGCGGTACCTAGCTGGGATTGACTTTGCGAACTGAAGGTGGCGCTGGACACATCAGTGTCAAAGGACACAACAGTGGTGTTTATGAGTTTTTTTCTGCATTCAATCTGGAACGTTGAACAATATAGAGAACAATATGATGCCCAATTCCCGAAGATCCCCAATTTACGATTTTGTACAAAACGTATGCGAGGTCTTCCTAAAAAGTACAAACATAAGACGGACAATAGGGGATCCCCTATTGCAGGCATATAGTCACTGTGTGCGTTTGTACTGTGAGGAACGAAGCCGGCACCTGCATGAGCACTCTGTAACAGTACTGGAGTGTAACCTCCGGTGGACTACGCATGCTCGAAGTCCTTCGCTGCATCGATCTGACGCTTAATGTCTTGAGCTAACTTATCCCAATTTACCCTCTCTTGAGTGGCATCGAAGCAAGAGAGGATATCTTGAAGCTCCCGTGGAACTGCATACTTGTCCCTTCGAAGCGGGAAAATGACGTGACCGGCTTTCTTGAGTTTCAGAGCATGATGCATGGGAAACTTGCACTCCGTCTCGAAACCACTTGTAAGGACGAATAAAATGCAAGCACTGCTTTCCATCAAATGCAACTCATTGCTAAGGACGAAGGAACCTGCCAGAGAATTTTCTTGCGTTGTGGACCCCTTTAACTTTCTCATCCCCAACTTGGGAAGCAATTCTTCGTGCACCCACTCTGCGTCATTCGCCGTGTGTATCACAAAGAAGTCAAAATCTTTCAGCGTCGGATCAGAACCTTTTTCTGGTGGTGAATCTGTAATGGCCATGCTTCTTATTCCCTCCACTAGTGATGCGGCAGCCCCATCTGCTGGCTTATCTGGGGTTTGGTTGGATGCCACTTGTGATTCGGTAGCTTGACTTGCTTGTTCATCTGGGTTTTGGTTGGGTGCTTCGAGCCCACTATCTGGTGAGGGGGCCACATCTTTGCCGGCATCAATCAGGCTAGGAGCCTGTTCAGATAGCAACAACCGGAGACAGACTGTCGATGTCCAAGGTCTTGGAATTTCCCTTGTCAGGCTCTCCAACACCGTGATCCTCTTTCTCTGGGTTTTCCCAAGACTCTTTCAGTAACCCACCAGGG